TTGGCTGGTACTAATGGCACAAACTGGGTCTCTGTCATCTATCTCTCTGACTAGGATGATTTGAGGTACTCACTTTCTGGTTGGGGGAAAGAGGTGTAAACCATTTTCTTTTAAGTGGCCTTGGTTAGGGAAAATAAAATCTTGTGATTTATTAGCTGGCTGTTAGTTGCTTGGCAGTTTATTTAGCTATCTGTCTCAGTTTCCCCATTCCACTTGCCAAAGAATTCCCTAGCTTCTTACTAACCTGCCTCAAAAGTACCAAGCTCAGAGCTTCTGGTTGTTCTCTAGTTGTGGAGTCATAGAATCGTGTTACCTTTCCAGCGGCCATGTATGACACTATGCAGAGTACTGACAACCAGAGCAGCTCACCTGGGTTGTGGTCTCTAGAGACTTTGTTGGGACTCAGTCAGGCAAACCTCATTGACTGTCCCTATGGCTGACCTCAGTCTCCCCACCCTAAATCATCACATTGTTGGTGTGATTCTAAGTCCTCACTCTAAATGAACTTGTTACTATCTGGCTAAACCAATTTGATACTAATTTGAATTACAATGACTTGACTGTATATTTTGATATTTGGTGAGGCAAATTTCACCTTCTTGTTTTTTGAGGTTACTTTCATAACTATTCTCATGTAAAACTTTCATAACTAATCTTCTTATAAAACTTGAATTCTGTATTAATTCCACTGCATTCAGTTATAAGTACACATTGTTTAAACTCTATGACTTAGTTTTGCTGTATAAAAATCTTCTCAAAAATTACATTATGTTGTGGCACTGAAATGAATAAGTTATTGTGAATGTATAAATTCATGGAAACAGCAGTGGGACATAAATTTGATATTAGTAAAGGAGATTTTGTCATTAGAAGAATAATTTTGTTTCCCTATTTTCTTGCAAAGCAACAATCAAGCTTTATAGAACCAAGAGAGAAAGCTATCCCCACTCCCATTACCCCCCACAACTGAAGTCTGTTATGTTCTGCTACTAAGATGCATGCAGAAGTATTGTAATGCAATGGAAAATTTACCAATTTGCTTGAAATAGATAAAAGAAATTCCAAAGCAATGAGAGGTTGGTGTCACCAATTCATGTGTTTTGAAGGACTATCATTAAGATGTCAAACATCTATTTATCAAAACTTCCTGTGGACTGTGAGCAGAAGACAATAGTGGTGCACTCTTCAAGAAATGCTGCACTATCAGTTTTCCTAATAGCCAAATAATATTATTGTATGACAAATCCAGACATTAGTGACTCTGAGTCCAAAAAGATAGAAAAGAGTTGGACTTTGGATGTGAAGATGTTTTAGAAACACCTTAACATTTATTTCACTCTTATTTTTCCTTTTAAGTATGTACACAAGCATGCATGAGATGAAAATGAACCCAACACTTAGACCAATCAGAATGCAGCAGTACCTTGACCACAGTGACTGGCCAATCACAGTGAGGCTCTGGGCTTTGTTCACTCATTGATTTAACTGCTCCCATCCTCATGCTGGATCTTGGAAGCCATACTATGACCAAGAGGAATCAGCCTTAACATGAAGCCAACACATAGACTGCAGAGCAGAGTAGCTATGTTGACGACATTATTGAACTGCAGGATCACCAACAAGGCAGTTTGAGTTAGAATGTCTGTTACTTGTAAACCCAAGGTTCTTCACTGAATGAAGGCTCAGTAAATGTCAATCAATAAAGCAAATGATAATAAGTGAGGACACTCAAGGAAGCCCTATTTCTCAAATCTGGGGCCAGAATGATCCCACCATCCAGCCCCAGTCAGTCGGTGATTCACCTGGTGAACCATTGGTGGTTGTTTATTGAGGGCTTCAGAAATACGACTCTAAAGGGTTTGTTGCAAGGCACACTGTGGAAGCAGAGCACCTTTATATACTTTTTACAAATAAGAAAGAGTGTCATTCAGGGATATTTGGGGCTGACCTGTGCACATCTATTTTCGTGTTTCATACATATTTTCAGATCTTGATTTGATTTTCACTCATCCACAGAATGGAAATCTAGGCCTGAGACAATGAAGTCAAGCACTACTTTTACTTAAAAAAGTTTTTTTTCTTTCTTTATTTTTCTTTCTTTATTTTTTATCCTCACCTGAGGACAGTTTTCCATTTTTGTTCAGATAGAGTAGGAGGGAGAGAGAGGGAGGAAGGGAGAGAGAGAGAGAGAGAGAGAGAGAGAGAGAGAAACATCAACGTGAAAGGGACACATCGAGTGGCTGCCACCCGCACAACCCAACCCAACCAGGGCTGGGGACAAACTGCAACCGAGGTATGCGCCCTTAGTGGGAACCGAACCCGGGTCTCTCTGGACTGCAGGCTGATGCTCCAACCGCTGAGCCAAACTGGCCAGGGCTCTTTATTGATTTTTAGAGAGAGAGAGAGAAAGGGAGAGGGAGAGAGAAATAGAAACATCGATGAGAGAGAACACTGATTGGCCGCCTTCTGCATGCCCCCAACTGGTGACTGGGCCCACAACCTGGGCATGTGCCCGGACCCGGAAGTGAACTGGCAACCTCTTGGTGCATGGGTCTACACTCAACAATGAGCCACACTGGCCTGGCACTACTTTTACTTTCATTTACACTTTCATGCTTCCCTAACTGTTCCCACTGAGCCCAGACACACTGCAGGATTATCAGCTTTAAAAAATCATTTTATGTGCTCTGTTGGGTGACTCGGTTGGTTGTAGTGTCCTCTTGTACACTGAAAGGTCAGAGGTTCAATTCCCGGTCAGGAGATATACCTAGGTTGTAGCTTCGGTCCACGGTTGGGGTGAGTACAAAAGGCAACCAACTGATGTTTCTCTCTCTCCCCCCAACCCCCTTCTTCTCACTAAAATTAGAAAAACAAAACACACAAAAAAATCATGTTCTCAGATGAGGATCTTAAAAAATCCTATTACTACTGGCATGGATCACCGTTGAATGAGCAGATGAAGCTAGCTGAATCTAGAAGTGGCTGTGATACTGAAAGAATCCTGTCTTTACCCACATCTGCCTCCTGCTAGCAATGTTTTTTTGCCTGTCCTATCAGGTTTGTGAAGGATAGAAAAGTTTCCAAGCCCCTGTCAAGAGGGTAACATCTAATTACCTAAATTGTTACAAAGTTTCCAGTCAACCTTAATTCCTACCCCTTAAATTTTAAATCTAGGTTATTCCATGGTCTCTACAATGACAGAATTACTTTTACCTTTAAAACTTGGCAAACTGTTCTTTGTTTGTTTTTTTTAATCCTTGAGCTTTGTGAGTTTTCCTGTGCCTACTTGCCCATAATTTAGTCTTCTGGTCTGATGACTGCTTTTTAATGAGTTCAGCCTGTGCCTTCTGGGACAAATTGGGAGTGTGAGGAGTGTGTTAGTGGGGTTAGTGAGAGGTGTGATAATTAGTATCAGACCTAGCTTGGCTTTTGAAGTCCAGAGCTTTGGAATGTTGCAGAAGTATAAATATAATCATGGCTTTTTGCAGTTTGTAATTATATCGCAGCTGAAATCTCAGGAATCTTTCTACCCTCAGGATTCTACTACCCCTGACCTCTGAATGGTTCTGTCATTAGTGTCAGTCTCTGGGGACTGATACCCAAAGGAAACGACTTCCTGTTTTGTTCTAAGTGGCCATTTTCCCCGGCAACCTTCCTCACTGTTTACCAAATATCCTACTTCAGGATAGAGAGAATAAGCCTTCTCCCTTCCCTTTCACAGGATAAGGAGGAATGAAATAAGGCAGGAGTGAGAAAGGCCCTCTGAGGGTAAACTGCCACCTTACGACTATACCCAGATTGTACTAAATTGTACCAAACACCTTTGGGCATTCAAATCAAAGACCCGGTCCTATAAGAAGCCTGCATGATCACTCAAGCTTTTTCCTCTCACCCTCAATCTAGAAACACCCTCTCTTTCACCACAATTCCCAAGTACATCTCAGTGCTCGCCCTGGGCCAGCCTCTGGGGTCCCAAAGGTGAAGCAAAGGATCTCACAGTCTGGTTAAGGAGAGACTCCACAGGCCGGTAAGTTTAAAAGGAACTTGGAGTCTGAGTGGGAGGTCAGGGAGGTAAATCAGGGAAGCCTTTGGACTTGTACACCAGTAGGCTGTTCCCAGGTGAAGCGCGGGGGAGGGCACTGCAGGCGGATAGATGGCCCCTCTGCCCCGTGGAGGTGCGGGCCCTGGTCGGCTACTTCATCGCACACTGCCCTGTGACTGATCAAACTGTTGTCCAGGGATATTTTAACCGTTGAATTGTGTATCAGTTCTTATTATTTCTGAAAAGGTGTTCTCCCAACCACCTATTTTTATAAAAGTGTGAGGACACTTAATACATGAGTAAAAGAATGAGTGAATGAATAGCTGAATGAGTGGGGGCCAAACTAGACCATGTTACTCAAAATCTGAGAGGAGTCGGGCAACGTCCCAGGAGCCACTGCTCCAGGCTGCCCCTCACCACCCTCTGCCCAGTAGCCAACATTCTGGGATGAAAGAGAAGGTGGGATTGGGTCTGAGGCTGGCAATTCTGAAGCTATTCCAAGAGTGTGACGGGACATTCATAGGAATGCGTTGGTCCTAAAGATTCCCCCTACCAATGCCAAAAAAAAAAAAAAAGAAAAAAAAGCCATAAAAATTGCTGTGCGGACTGAAAGGTGACCGTCTTCAGCTACAGGACCGGTGTGTCCAGATCCAATTAGACAGTCCTTTTGCTCCAGAAAGGGCCTCTAATGAAAGTATCGGAGTCCGGAGTCCCCACCCGCGAAGGACCGAACGAAGCTAGAGTTATGAGGACGAGGGACTGCACGCTGGAGGCCAGGTTCTCCCGGCGTCGTGCTGCGGGGATGTAGCTAAGGACGTGCTGTGGGCGCGGAGCCGGAGATCTCCCCCCACAGGGGCGGGGCAAGGTCACGTGGGAGCAGCGAGCGGCGCAGGCGCGAATCTGCGCAGGCGCCATGGGCGGGGGAAGAGTTCGGTCTTCCACCCCCCGAGTCGGGCGAGGGAGCAAGCGGGCGGGAGGGAGGTGCGAGCAGGACGTGTTCCACCGAGGGCTCTGTGAGTCATGTGACCTCCGCCAAGGTGGGCTCCGCCTCCGCGCAGGTGAGGAAACTGAGGCAGAGCCGGGTCGGTGGTGCACGGATTGATTAGCTGCGGGGTTTGTGATGTCTTCCCGGTCTGGCGGTCCAGAGCCGGGCAGAAGCTCCTTCGGAGCCCGCCCGCGCGGCTGCACCTGCGGAGGCTCGAGGTGGCCCCCACCACGCTCAGTGGCCGACGCCCCCTCTCGGCCCTGCGGCGCCGCCCGCCTGCCCCTGGACTCCGCGGTCAGTGGAAAAACCCCGCGTGGGGGTCAGGGACCCGGGCTGGACCGGCGCCTCTGACTCGCGAAGAGCCCCGCCCGCCCCGCTGCCAGGCTGTTGGAGGACGATGCCCGATGCCCGGGCCGGCCTGAATTGCTGAGAAAGCACTTCACTGTGGCGCGTGGGTCCCGCGAGGCCGAGCCGGGGAGAGCAGGGGGCGGCCGGGGGCTGGCGGGCGGAACAGCTGGGAGGTGAGCGGATATAGGCGAGGGACCTGGCTGGCGTCCTCCGGGCTCCGTCCTGGCATAGGGTCATGTGTTTAATGGGACCACGATTTGTCTTTTCAGAATCTCATAGGCACCTGTTTGCCTCCCTTTCCAAAAGGTTGCAAACGCCTGACACAACTGGAAAAAGCCCAAGTATAGAGGCTAAAACACTGAGCCGAAGTCTAGGAATGAAAAGATGAACAAAGCACCAGTCCTCGAGGTTGTTGCAGGGACCTGGAAATAAAGGAGATGGAAAAGATAGTTAAGGCCCCGCCTGCCGAGGGCTGTGGGGAGGCAGCACACCCGCGAGTTCAAAGCCAGACTGGGTCAGGCCCGGCTAACGCGAAGCCTCTTTTCCTTACCACACCATGCTCCTTCCACAGCCCAATTTCCTAGACATCAGTCTAGTTTTTTATTGTATTTTAATGTGTTTTCTTTTGAGCTTGGCAGATGAATACAGAAAGAGAATAGTTACTTAGGATTCATTTTGAAAAGCATTGTCTGGGAGCCAGCTTGTATAGACTGGAATGCTCCTGCTGTGGCCCAACACTGGACACTGAGAAGTGGGATGCAGAATGTGAACCCCGACTTTTTAAAACTTACCTGGTCATCAGAAACTCTTCATTTCGTGTACAAACAACATTTTAGGGACAATTAATGACTAATCTGGAAATGAGTAAGAATTATACCTCATGTTTTTGTCACTTTGTCAGGTAGCTTGCAAAGCACCACCTGTACATTTAATCCTTTGCTTACAACTCTGTAGAAGGTAATTCTGGAGTTGTTCCTGGTTTACTGATGCAAAAAATAGTCCTTGTCCAAGTTCTTACAGCTTGTAGGGATTTGAATTATATTTTATTATTGGTCCAGCCCTTTCCATATTGCTCTCCTTTGTAAAGCATGTCATTTAGTTGAGATCTTGTGCATTGTTCCTGAGGGGTACAGAAGACGGTTCTGATGATTGGTTGTCTCATCAGCTTGTGTCACTGAAATGGTGCTTGAAAAGTCTAGTGAGGATGAATCCTGGGTTATGTCACCTCATGCTCTGTCAGTATCCCAGAAATAAAGCAGCCTGCCTGCCAGGTTACTTCTCTCTTTGTGACATGTTGAGCAGAGAGACTTCAAGTGTCCCTCTGCTGAACTTGTGTGGCAAGAACTGTCTGGGGGCACTGAGAGGGAGCCAGCCTCTCCTCTGAGCTCAGTGGCCTCTGGCACAGGGAGATTACAACTAAGCAGTGCCCTTTGCCTTCTCTGGTGTTGCTAGTGCAGAAGGCAGTGTTGGCAGGTTGGTGTGTGGGTTGTGGAGTGAGCAGTTGGGTGAGAGGGGCCTGAGATGAGCCAGAGTTCCCTCCAGACCTAGAACTTCCTCTCAGGAGGCAGGCCTGCAGTGACACAGCTGGAGAAGTTCAGTGTTTTGTGTTCTTCAGCCGTCCTACTGTCATCGGAGAATGAGTGAATCTGAGCCCTACAAAGAAGATAATGTGGCCTTACAATTCTGAAGTTTCTATTGCTTCACCTACATTCTCCCTGATAACCTCTCAGAGTGCTCTTGTTTTTAAGGAGACACAGGTTCAGAGGGACAAGGTGACCTCTCAGAGTCAATAGTGAGAACCCAGGGTTTTTGTCCTGAAGCCCATTGTTTTGTGGTATCGCTCTTGTCTTCCCATCCACACTCATAAAACTTGGTAGATGAGGTGCTCTGAGCCTACTCAGGAGCCTGTGCAAATAAGGAGCAGAATGGCCAGATATTTCGGGGGTGGGGGTGGGGTGGGATGCTTTGTAGCTTCAGAATCACCGATCAGAGGAAAGAACCTTCCTAGCCTCCACATTCCATTCCTCCCTCACCCAGGGCAGTGTCTGAGAGTTCTCCAGTAGCTCACTATGTCCTCTTGTTCTGCTTTTTGCATCTGTTCAGAAACTTCTGAATCTGGCATCTGAAAGTCGGGCTGGGCCAGAGCTGGGTAGCTCATTGCAAATGGCTAGTTCTGTGATACTTGATGATAAGGGTGGGTGGGAGCAAATTCCCTAGTGTGGGCCTTGGGTGCTTGTGTCACTAGGCTACTTAACTGGATTTTCAAGCCTATGTTGTTATCACTCAGAATTGATAAGACCTTGTTACTGTGGGTTGGAGAGATGCATAAGGGCTTCTCAGCTGAGAATGGACAGTGTGACCCTTATGAAACATTTGGCTTTGGATTATAAACTTCTTGCGGAGCACTGGTCTGGGAAAGGCTGGTGCTCTAGCTGCCAGATTCCCAGGCCCTGTTCAGGAGCAGCTTTGCTTTCAGCCTTCTTCAGGCCAGTGAGTAGACTTCAGGACCTGCAGTCATCCCCCCCCCCCCGAGCCCTGAACCCCCATACTGTTCTAGTCTTTGTAAGAGTGTTCAATGCAGGGTAAATAGTCATGGACTGAGAGTTGAGAGTCCCAGCACAGTCACTGACCAACCCTCCCTTGTGTGACTTTGGACTAGCTAGCCCCTTCTCTGTTCCTTACTTAGTTTCCTTATTTACTCAGTGAAGGAGGTGCTCAACTAGAGCACTGAGGGGCAGAGGGGAACAGAGGAGAGCAGAGAAGGGAGATGAAGCATCCTTTCCAGGCTTGTTCACTGAGGGCCTCAGGTGAGGCGGCCCACGTGCACCCTTAGCTTCCTTTGTTTCCCTCAGCACCCCTTTCTTCCTTCTGCCCTGGCTCTGCCTCAAGCCAGCTCATTCTCAGGAGGGAGGATTCCCTGGGTGGGGCTGAACTGGGCAGGTGTACCCTGAGTGTTTAGAATATGATGCTGTCTCTACTTGTTTCAGGCATGAATTAACCCACTCAGTGATGGTACTTTGTTTTATTAAGATTTGATCAGTTCCTGCCCAACTTTGTTTTATTAAGACTTGATCAGTTCCTGCCCAGAGACAGGTCCTTGAACAGGTAGGAGGTAGGCCTGGGGAAGCAGGGAGTGTGAATGCATGCCCAGCAGGAGAGGAGTAGGGGCAGCTGTTCCCTTAGCTTTCTGGATGGCGGAACTCTGGAGTTGCAGTCATGCTGTACTTTAGTGTCTTTGGAATGCAGAACTGAGACAACCTCATAGATTTTCTAGTTCCTTCCTCTGTGTGCACAGATGAGAGACCCAGGCCCAGAGTGCCTTCATAGCCTGTCGGATTGCCCTGCCAGTGAGCAGTAGAGTCGGGGTTCAACCTAAGGTTACCTAAACCCCAGGCATGAGTGTTTTCTTTTAAGGTCATACCAGCACTGTCCACAATTACCTTCCGTGCTGAGCTGAAATTGGGTGGCTTCAAATTAGTTCCAGCCCTGCCTCACTTGTGAGGTTTAAAGGGTAAAATTTGGATCATTTTGTTAGCAATTTAATGCCTACTAATACCAGGATATGTGTTAAGTGCTAGAGATGAAGGAATGAATAAGGCCCCTGCCCTCATATTGCTGCAGCATATTGTGTAGACAGACATGTAAAGAATTCAAATACACTGAGTCCATTTGTTTGTGCAATGTGCAAAGATATGTGTGTGTTTGCATATGCACGCACGCTATATAATCAGAGGTGAAGGATCAGTCAGTTGCTGGGGCTTTCCGGAGAGGTTTTGGAAAGAAAATGTGACTTGTTCTGGGCCTTTACCTAGTTGGCATGAATGGGGAGGGTGTTCTGGGTAAAGGAAGCAACAGTAGCAGCAGTGCAGAGCCTAACAACATGTTTTAGTTCTTGCACATTGAGTGGTCTGGTGAGGGCGCTGAAGTGGTAGGGTTGAGGCTGAATGGTGGGCTGAAGCTGAGTTGTGAAGGTCCATAAGCAAGGGGAAAAGGTGATCAGGTCTGTGTGTTACACTTGCTCTGGCTACAGCGTGGAGGACAAGCTTTAGAGGACCTGACTAGAGCCAAGCCAAGCTCAGTCGTGTGGTTACTGAAATGGTCCAGGTACAAAGTGGTAGGGACCTGGGCCTGGACAGAAACAGTAAGGTTAAGAAGAGCATGCGTAGTAAACACATTTTCCTGACTGAGTGGTGTGGACAACGAAGAGAAAGAAAAGTGTGACTGTCTGTTTCTGGCTTGAGCAGTTGGCTAAATGCTTGTGTCATTCACTGAGCTAGGAAACCGGAAGGGAAACTGACTTTAGTGGAGGTCACTTATGGACATATTGCAACAGAGATAACCTATAGAACACCCAAGTGAAACTGAGTCAGGAACAGCAATAGAACCTGGAAGTCAATACCAAAGGGGGTGGATGGAGTGCTACAAGTTGGTGAGGTTGCCCAGGAAGGGAGTATGGGTTGAGAGGGGCCACTTAAGTGGCAAAGAAGGGAAGGTGAAGAAGCTAAAGAAGAGCCCTGGCCGGTTTGGCTCAGCGGTTAGAGTGTCGGCCTGCGGTCCCGAGAGACCCAGGTTTGGTTCTGGCTAAGGGCATGTACCTCGGTTGCAGTTTGTCCCCGGCCTTGGTTGGGTTGTGCGGGTGGCAGCCACTCCATGTGTCTCTTTCACGTCGATGTTTCTCTCTCTCCCTCACCCCCCACCCCACTCTATCTGAACAACAAAATGGAA